CCTCCACGCCACGCCGAATTGAGGCAGTAATTAAAGCAAAAAGAGCCCCTACCAAGTATTGAGTACATGTACAGTAAATGAACATACTTTCCAGAAGGCCAACAATTCACTAAAAATGTTTTTTTATTGGTCTTATGAAGTATTCTAATTTGTTGAGAGAGTGAATTGGTGGGTTTTTGTTAAATGTGAACCAAAATCATCACAATTAAAAGAACCAAAGACTTAAACTACTTCAATCTGTGTGCATTGAATTTATTTAATAAACGAGTTTCACAATTTGAGTTGAATTACTGAAATAAATGAACTTTTCCACGACATTCTAATTTATTGAGATGCACCGGTAAACCTGTAAAAATCTCAAAATCCTCAATAAGTTCTTTTTTGGACTTAGCAGTTTTTTTAAACATGTAAACACAACTTGTAATTAATCTGATGTGACCTGCAGATTCCAGTTACCTTTTGTCATTGTCCTGTGCAGTTCATCTGATCCTGAGACTAACAGGTAAGAAATGGCTTGACTGCTTTTATGAGCATACTGGAAGTGTAGACAGTATTTATGATTGTGAACACGACACTATTATGTGAATTCATCCATTTGTCTGACCAGTTAAATCACGCAGGAATCGCTGATCTCACCGAGAGATAAATGAATGCAATGTAGCCAATTAAAGCTTTTTAATAGTCAAACAGACAAAATCCATAAAGTCTGTCTGTGCGAGAGCTGCGCAGACGCCAGTATAGAGCCAGCGGCGCGTAATAGTGTTTTCCAGGCCTTGACGGAAAGATTAAATATCAAACGAGCATCTCGGAGGACCTCAGTCTTTGATAAAATGCCACTAATAAAATAAAGCCTGAAAATGACTGGAGACTCGTTATCAGATGGAGTCCACAGAGCGGGAGGATTTACAGACAGAATAAAGAGAGCGAGAGAGAGAGGATGAAAGAGAAATCCGAGGAGGTGAAGAGACGTCTACAACATATGGCCTTTATGAGACGCACAGCTGCTTGATGCAGGGACACTAGAGGAAGTGCTCGTTTGATCGCCCGTGAGAACGCTGGTCCAGATGTGCCCACAGGTGCTGATGTCCTTCACCACCAACAGACCATCATAATATCAAGGACACACCTTCAAGTGTACTGAGAGATTGGGAATGATAGACAGGTATTTTACATCAATAATTTGTGACCCTGGACCACAAAACCAGCCTTAAGTCGCTGGGATATATTTTTAGCAATAGCCAAAAAAACATTGTATGGGTCAAAATTATAGATTTTTCTTTTATGCCAAAAATCATTAGGATATTAAGTACAGATCATGTTCCATGAAGATATTTTGTAAATTTCCTACCAAAAATATATCAAAACTTAATTTCTGATTAGTAATATGCATCACTAAGAACTTCATTTGGACAACTTTAAAGGAGATTTTCTCAATATTT